TGTGTGTGTGTGTGTGTGTGTGTGTGTATGTGTGTGTGTGTGTGTGTGTGTGAAAGTTCTTTATTGCTGTGATTCGATCTTGCGTTCTTTCCATGCCGGAGAGGTCTTGACGGCAGTTCGGAATGCCTCGTGATGGAAGGGAAACTGCTAAATTATCTCGCCGTTACGTTTCCCAAGCACGCCGTAAATTCGCCTGTAAAAGACGAGGCTGGAGGCCAGCGTGAGGCGCGATGAGGAAGGGTGCCCCCTCTCCGAGGGATCTCACCCGGCTGCCTTCTCCCCGGTGCTGCTCTGAATGCCACACGTTTTCCGGAAAGTTCGTTAAATGCCGCTTTTTACTGTCTTTGCGTTTTCTCTGCTCACCGTTCGTTTTATGCCTATGTCGATTACAATGTAGCCTGCTGTCCTGAGATTTCATTGGTTCTGTCTTAGTATGTTTATTGTATATATTGTTACAGCAAAACTGAAAAATTAACCTTGCAAATTTGTCCTAGAATGCTGAACTTTTATTTCCAATGGGGTCTCTTTATAAGGATAATTACTGAGCTTTTAAAATGCATTTCAGTTCATCTTGTTGCCTTTCAAAACCAAGTATGTTTTATTCAGTGACAACTTTGTGCAAAAACATGTTTGCTTGTGTGTATGTTTGCTTTCTACAAGCACAATAGGGATTCTCAGGACACCAGCCTGTACTGTGTACGAGTCACTTGGAAGACTTTCAAACACGATAACTTTGGACTGGCTGACTTAGTGCTCTTATGAGTGCCTTACCTTTTAGTGCAGATTAATATGCCCACAGAGCAAATAATGGCATGATGGAAGCGGCTGTGATCCTGGTCGCACTCAGCAGACCTCATTAGTTTCTCACACTTAACTGTTTGCTTGTTCTCAACCGCCATTAGAGAGGTGTCAGAAGAAGAATGACTATTCAGTGTGTTATCTGTACAAACACAGTTCACCCCTCTTTTGGCAGGAAGTCCTGATTGGGAACTGTCAGTGTGTGTTTGTGGGGGGTGAGGGTTATGGGTAGCAAGATTAGTGGGGTGAATGAACTACTCAGGGCTTGTGCAGTGGCGTGGTCTTGCATAACAAAACCACCAGTGAATTTCACACACTGCCGGCGAGTGATCGAGAAGGCTGGCCTCCATAACAACATTAAGGAAGAAGAAAGCAGAATTTGGAGTGTTGTGTTGTTGTATTTTTGCATTAGCAGGATGAATATCTGTTGGGTGGCTTATTCCAGCAGGTCTTTCTACAGGATAGGTCAGAATTACAGTTTCAAATCAGTTCTTTCCTCAGCTCCAGCAGAACCCGGGGCAAAGTGCCTCCCATTTTTTTTGCATGATCAGTTTAAGAAAGGGGTATTTTTTATATTTGGATTTATCTAGTTTTTTTAGGGGAACAAAACCAAAAAAAATACTGAAGTATTTCTTCAAAAACAATGTCTTGTATGAATGCAAAGCGGCATAATTTATTAGCTTTTTGTGAAGTCTGGACAAAAATCCATCAGCTTTTCGGTGAGGTTTGAAAACCACTGAGGTTATGTGTGTTATCGGGTTATTTCCGGCCTGTTCTTGCAAGAGCCCCGAGGAGCATTAGGTCAGGGTTACCTGGGGGGAAGGGGGGGCACCTAAAAAGATCCTGTGGAATTCCGGGCGATGTTTAACGGAGCCAACTTTACTGTGCAAACAGTAATGATTCCTTTAGGAAAGACAGAGAGACGGCAGCAGTGCCTAGAGGGCAAAGGTCACGGCAGCGGTACAGGATCGGCTGAAAGACACATTGTCTTTTTGTTAGCGTATAGCTTTCTGGTTTTTTTAAAAAAAGAGGAGCTGTTAGGGCAAAGTGAACACAAACCTTTTTTTCTTTATCTTCTAATTTTCTCTAGCAGCTACAACAAAGATTGCAGCACAGTGATGACTGTAGTCCTGTGTCACATGTAACTGGTGGTAATGCTGGAGATTTCACACAGCCATTTACAGGACGATGTTCCATACTGGCCACCTTGTAATGGTTTCTGTGGCAGATCTGTTGCTCGGTTTTTGATACTCAACTCCCACCATTGCATGCACGTTCGGTTCCTTTCGTCTGTGTTTTGCCCTATACTCATTTGCATTTACGGTAATGGGACAGACAAGCAATTTTAAACACTATATAGTACTCCTAAGCGATGGGCTCTAATTTTTTTTTTTACGTTCCATACTGGCACTCAGAAAGCATTCTGTGTATATTCTTTCCTGTAGTTTTTGCACGGAGATTGACAGTTTCCCCACTGACTCTAAATAGTCACGTCACTTATGCAGGGTGTCAGCCTCGAGTCAGCAGGCCACGCTGAAGCTGCAGAAGGTTGAAGCTGCTACATTGTCGTCCCTTTCTGGTTTCCGTAGCTGCACGTGTACATGCATAATGTCGTGAGAGTCAGTTTGTATCACATGTGTAGATTCACAAGCTCTGAATAAATCATGACCAAACAGGCAAGCCCTTCCTTCCCCCACGAAAACGGGTGCTTTTCAGTCACCTAGCTTCGATTTTAAACCCATTCTCAGCCAGATCATCCTAGTTCGTTGTGCTTAAATGCGAGTCAATAACGTACAGCGTCCTGTCAGGCCTGTGAAACACCCGTGACAGCTTCATCTCCCCAACACGGTGATTTGTTTCCACCGATTCTTCAGAAGATTATCAAGGCTCCATTTATGAAACAATGGTAATTATCTTGTATCATAAAACTGGACACAGAGCAATTATGCGATAAATGAATAGTTCCTTCCATCCGGTTCAGTAATTTCTCCGCTGTGCCGAATACCATGTCAGTTGGTTTAAGAATTAGTTATTTGGCATTTGTTCCAGATCTCCTAATCCGAAGTTCCAGTTGAGCACTCCTTCAATATATCTGAGCCGGTTATGCATATTTAACCCTTTTATAGACTCGTGACTTAAATGTGTTCTGCTTTTAACTTGTAAAAGTGTTTCCTTTGCATATTGGGCTGCTTCAGTGCACGGTTGTATTTCATTCTCCAAATAATTTAAAGCAAGTTCGCAGCCAGAAATGTGTGTGAGTGAATGATTTGTTGAATGCATGCATGCATTTTTGTACACATGTAAACCGTTTACATACATGCATATAAATATTTACACATATTTATGCATATAGTACTATCTGGGAAGTACAGCAAAGCAGATAGGACATTCAGTTCCAGTCCCTGGTGGTGAAACAGTAGGTGAAACAAACAGACCTGTCTACCAATCTCATTACTATCCCTATATTAAAAGCAGTGCTCACAGGGACCTCTGCTCTCTACCCTTCGCATTATGTTTAATTATGACCCCAATGCGAAACATGCGGAAAGGTTGCACCTGCTGTTACTGAAAGTCTCTCTTGATATGTAATGTGAAAGCCCAGATGTAAAAAGGACACCATATATAATATACCTTTGGGAAAACGTGTGCTACACCTGTAAGCCTGTTACATGTACCAGTGTACCATTAATGTTAAAGACCATCAGTTGGGAAAGAGTCTGAAAGATATGTCTTTAGATCATGTTAATCAGTAATCCATCACTAATAGAGAAGAGGGGAGTAATAATATCTATTTACTAACTGTAGAAATACTAATTAAATTTTTAATTAAAACTTTTCCCATAATGCATTAGGAAATGCGTTCGAGGCCTGAAATTCTCACAGGCATCACCTGTTTTTAACCTCAATCTCCTGGGCAGTGCTTAGATCATTAAGCTTGTCGACACACATTCCCCTCCACGGCGTATTTTAGTTTAGACTTCCAAGACAGATCGTAACGTGTGTTCTTCTGTGGCAAGAGTCTATCATATCCATGGTTACAGGTGATGGGCTAAAACTAGATGAGATATGAATGCCGCTCTGATGCTTCTGTTGCTAGGACAGTGCTGTGGTTTGAAATAGCGGATATTCATTGATTTTGTTGTCCAGGAAACGCCAACTGATGTAAGTTAACACAATTAACGAATGGCAAATCATTATCCTGCTGTTTAATCCTACAACCTCTCGCTTCTCCATTTCTTTGTCATTTTTAGCACCTTCCCTGCCATCTTGCTATGCTAATATAACCTTTAAAGTATATTACATCCCATTGCTGTATGATAATATTGATTTTTTTTCCGCATATAAATAAGATGCTATAAATGTAATGTGTTACTGAGAACTGTTCTTTAAGTAGAGTAACAGCTAGTGACCCTGACACTTCACCCGTTCCAGGTTTTGATGTCAACTCCCCCTCCCCCCCCTCCCCCACTGTGTGTGTCTGGACCTCGTATGGTTTCCTGTGTTGTGGCGATTTCCCCTCACAGTCCTAAGACATGCAGTTACATCTTATCCAAAGCAACGTGCAATTCAGAAATTAGGGTCAGACAGTTCCTGGAGCAACAGAGGGTTGAGGGCCCCGCTCAGGGGCCCAACAGAGGGTTAAGGGCCTCACTCAAGGGCCCAACGGTGACATCACTCTGGGATTTGGGTGTCCCCGACCCAAATGCTCCCAACAAAGTGTGTAGACATTGACAGGGCACCATTAAGGGCCAGTTAGGTAAATTCCCAAATTAATGAATTCCCAGTGTGTGAATGAATCTGTATATGTCTGTCATCTCGGCCATGGAATTCCATGCCTTGGGGACAATGCAGCGAGTGACCAGGGTGATTATTAGTTGAGTGGATGAGCAGAATATAGCAAAATCTCTCATTATATTATATGTTTAATTTTATTGCCTAGAGTTGACTTTCACCAAAACATATGTAGATGGAAATGATTAGAAAACACATACATGTTTTTTATGGCCCTTTCAGTCTTACACAGTGCATCCCTTAATGCGAAGAATCACTCTTTAATTGCTATAATATGTCTATGCTGGATTTGGATGGACCGGTATGAAGCTGGCAGCTCGGTGTCGGGTCTCAGCCGTCCTTGCATGGTTTCTCTGCGTCCACAGCTCCCTGCATTTGCTCTCTGTACCCACTCCCCTTGTCCTGTGCAGATTCGCCCCCGTCAGCGAGAACGCTCCCATGGGGACGGCGGTCGGTGTCATCCTGGCTGCCGCCGTAAACCAGACGGTCGTCTACTCCATCGTGGAGGGGAACGAAGGCCGTGAGTGCCAGTGCTTTCCTAGGACTTCAGTTCTGTCTTCAGTGACCCTCAGCTTGATCTGCGAGGACTTGGCTCGTCTTCCATGGTGTCATCACCGTGTCAGAAGTGGTGAAGGATAATAAGAGGTCTCCTTGTTCCGTACAGTGATGAGAGACTTTCCCAGGTGCCTCTAGGGATTCAGAAGTTTAAATTGTCAACTTGAGGAAATGTGTAGATAACACTGCACTCGTTTAATTTAATGAGAGACCGAAGAATTGATGTGATTAATTGCTTTTAAATTCAGTGAAAATCAGTCATGAAGATATGAAGAATCCCCCAGCAGCATTTAGCCCTGGGAACCCGCATCATGATTGTGGCAGATTGTTTTGTTTAGGCTGCCTTTTGACTGAGATTATTATAGACATTCTTTTGCGTCAAAAGCAGAGCGCCATTAATAAAAGCTAACAAATTCCGACAGGGAAACAAATTGTAATAAAAAGAAAAAAAAAAAAAAACAGAACAAGGGGAGGGAATTAAATTCTATAAAATAGCATTAAATAGCATTAAATCTAAGAAACAATTTACTCATAATACAAGCAGAAACGTGTTAGATTATGTCTCATATGATGCTACAAAAGTACAACCAGTCTTCGAATGTGACCTCATAGAACCAGAATGTCATTAATATGCCAAGAAGCAGCATTACCACAGATGAACAGATAAGTGTTAACGTTATATTATAACCTCGTATCTTCCGTAACTCCATTTTGGTTCTCAGACAGATGAAGATATGCCGCTAATTTGCCTAATCCTGCTTGTACATGCTGAGAAACAACACCGGCTTTTATCATGAGAGAAACTGATGAAGGGATGAAGAATGTGTGATAACCGTGGTTGTAACTTTATTCAGCTTGGAGAGCAGCTGGTCCAATGTCTAATTATGCAAAAAGCTTTTTTTTTTGATCAAAAGAAATGCAGTCAGCATCTTTATGCTGTAAAATGTTTTAGCGTTGCATGTTTTGAGCAATGCATATTTAAAAGCCTGGTTACATGCTAAGCGAAATAAGACGCATAACATATGCATGGCTAGCGGAATTGCTGTTTAATGTAGAATGGTACAGTACATAGTTTTCAGACATCTTATGAAGCATCATGGGGTGGATCCATTCCAAGATAATTCCAATTGGAGATGCTACTGTGACCCTCCTGCACGTGCCATGGAAATGGTATATCAACGGTATATACAGCAGACTTCGTTCTTCTGGAGAAATATCACGCCTAAATCAGGGCATAATTTCCCAGAGCATTTGGGCAAATGCTACTTGACCTGCATCCAATTCTGGAGGGATGACCGGGGGAAGGTAATCCTGATCCTAGAGTGCCGGTACCCAGCAGGTTTTCTGTCCTACCTGGTCTGTTATGAGCCACACCTGATGCTGGGCAGATAGTAACCCATCAGGTAGGATAGAAAACCTGCTAGATGCCTTCATTCCAGGATCAGGGTTGCGTACCCCAGTTGTAGATTTTTGACTTCCTGTCAAGGACGTGAAACGTTGTCAAGGACATGAAACGTGTGTAGATTTTACACTTTCTGCTACACGGTCTCTGATAGTTTTCTGTGAAGCTCATTACATCTGCCATGGGAACAGCCCGTGCAGATGGCAGCGGAACCCATCTTCATGTTGGTCAAGATGCCGGCCGTTATCCTGCCATGTCTGTGTCTCCCCCACCAGGAGAGTTCGCTGTGAACAACATCACTGGAGTCATATTCACGGCCAAGGCCCTAGACTACGAGTCCAACACCAGCTATGTCCTCCGTGTCCAGGCGGACTCTTTGAGCATTGTTGAGTCCAATATCCGAGTGCCTTCAAAGAGTAAGTCTGTCAAAACCATTATGCATAGCTTGTGAAGGTAGTAGTGACTTCAAAAAGATTTTTATAAGGCTGAAGAATTGAAATGTCATTGCGCTTTCCAGTCATGCGTTTGCTGCACTGCTTATCAAAGACTGACCACTAAAAACAGTCACAGCAGACCACTACAGAAAAGTAAATGGAAAATGCTAATCCTTGTGTTTTATTTATTTTGTTGATTATTCCAAAGTGGTGAGGAGCTCAATAAAATATAAAATATTCATTAAGCCAGGGCAGCTAAAACGGAATGTAACTGATTAAGACTGTCACATTCCTGTTAACTAAATTCAGCTTGCTTCATCTTGCATGATTATTCCGTATTAATGGCTAGAATAAATTTAACGCACTTTGTGCATTTTCCGATATGACCGCAGAATGCTCTTTTGAACATTTCTTGTCAAATAAGAGCTTTTTAAACCGAGTTGCTTTTTCTTTGTTCATTTTTGTTATGAGCCTATTATCCAGTGAAACATTTCAGCGGAGTGTAGATGTGCCTGCATGTCATGATCAATGGGCCTGAAATGGATTGTAAAGCAGGGACTATGACAGGAAACATCTGAACAGCTGCACCAACACACAGCTCCGTCCAGCACAATAAATAAAATCGCGCTCCTTCGCAGTGGGATCGGTTAACACATTCAGGGCCCTTCATTACTAAGAGACCCTCTTGGCACCTGATGTGTTGCTTAACTTTGAGATACAGCAGAATGATAAACAGGGACCACGTGGCCTGGCGAAGCACGGAACCCTGCTGGGTCACGAGTGCATGAAACAATATGGGGATGCTTTGCGAAAATGATGATCCCCACATCAGCGATTCAGGCCCTGTGTGCCGTAAAGCGGCAGGCATTCCCTGTGGTTGCCTGCAGGCATCCAGCGTGACCCTCTTACATCGTACAGTCCATTAGGAGAGCAGTGTAAAGACGTGAACATGTGTCCACCTTGGGAATGAACAATGAGTTTGTGCTGTCGCTATGTATATCTGTATATATGTATGTGTGTGTGTGTACAGTATGTGTGTGTGTATATATATATATATTTTTTTTTTCTCTCTCGATACATTCTTTGCTGCATTTTACACCTCCCAGCTGACTTGAGAAAATGTCATGTGATTCATTGCATCACTGTACTCGACCGCGGAATCCCGCTTCACATCCATCATCCGTAACCCTCGTCTCATTTGCTTTTTTGCATGCATGTGCAAGTTTGCGGACATGTGTATCAGCACACATGTTTTGCAGCTGATTCATCGTGTTTCTTATTTAGTCGTATTTTTTTTTTATTCCTCTCAGCTAACACAGCCAAAGTGTTTATTGAAGTCCAGGATGAGAACGATCACCCACCTGTTTTCACCAAGCAGCTGTACATCGGCGGGGTGGCAGAGGATGCCAAGACTTTCTCGTCAGTGTTGAAAGTCCAGGTGAGAGGGGATGCCGGACTGGTGCCGCCCCGTCTCAGCACGGGGGGGGAAAGCGGCGGACGCCGTGGTTAAGGGGCCGCGCTCTTCCATGCTTAGTCAGAGTTACTTCGGTAAAAACTGCAAAGTCGTAAGCTGCTGCATTTCTCCAAAAAACAGCTGGGTAAACAAATAAATATAATTTTACTGTGCTTACTATAACACTCATTTATTATCTCATGCCAAATCTCCTACCTGTATGGATTTTTTAAGAAAAGTCCTAATGTCGTTGGAATGTACTGTTTGTGCTAGCATTTCAGGCTATTGAGGCTTCATTATCATTTTATTTTTTTTTTGCATTCGGCCCTTTATTAACGTTAATAAATGAGATTAACTGTTTGTTCTATTTTAAAATGAAAAGCAAAAGCAACTTAAATATTTTTCTTAAATTAAAATATAGATAGCTGATTAGCATGTGGTGTTCTTATCAAATAGTTAATATAGCTAAGTAGCAGGTTTAGCTAGCTTGCATGGCATTTTTTTAATACATGGCTGCAGCTACCAAATGTTAATAGTAAGAAGCATGGCTCTTATTTGTTACAGTTTTGTCTCATGGCTGTAAGAGTAAGAGTAATCTTTTGGGCCCATCCATTTTCTGTAGCCGCTTATCCTATTCAGGGTCGCAGGGGGGTCTTGAGCGACATCCTTATTCACAAAAAAATTAAATATTGCATTTCTCACAGGAGAATAAGACGGGATGTGCAAGTAAAAGTACTGCTATGCACCTATATTTGCACAATGGTGAATAAAGTATCACCATTAGTATAAAAATTTGCAACACCTGCTGGTTAATCACAGCTTTCTGCATCTTTGTGAGTCTCCTTCATCAGTAAGGACAAGGCGTCTGACTGTGTTTGTTTGACCAAGATTACTTTAATTTTTTTTTCTGTCAGAGGTAGTGTGCCGGTTGTACAGAAGAAGGCAGTGAATTTACCATGCTTTCTGTCATTGGTCAATGCGATGTTCAGCCAGTTTTTTAAGCCTTTTAGAGGGCTTTGCCAGCAAATTTTCTCAGTTCAAGCTTCATAGGAATCCCCTCGTTTAATCTGGCGGATGTCGTAATTAAACAGTACCTGCTATGCCCATCTCAGATTGATGGCGGTGTTTCACTGAAGTGCGAGCAAGATGGGAAAACATGACTTTCATGGCTATTAAATAAACACAGTGATTAACTGTAAGTATAATTAACTCTTAATTGTTAAGTGCTTTAATAGTTGTTAGTCCATTAGCCAAAGAGAAAATGTGTTTTTACCAACAGTCATTAACAAAATGAAAGTCATACCACCAAATTGAGAATCCAAGATGTTTATCATAAAAATTGGGCGTAGTATTTTGGTTTAGATATGGTGGGAGCCGATCTTTAGGGGTCATTTACCATCTCACACTATAACAGCAGAAAAAACCCCACATGGGATTTGACACTGGAATTTTCCTCCTGTCATAACAATTTGTCTGGGACTCCAAATGTGCTGGAATCATGCAGTGAAGGGCTGATAATATATAACAAGGCCATATGCAGCAAGTATTTCATTATACTGTATTTTTTCCCCCCAAGTCAGCTGACAGTTACACTACCTACTGACCCAGGATGCTTATTAGTGAAAAGTAAATTTAATTTTCATATCTGAAGTGTGGCTTTGGGCACTAGAGGCAGGAGGAATAAGGTTTCAAAACCCACATGAGGTAGAAGCATTATTTGCTGCCTTTCACCATGGCTAGGCCCTCTTCATGTTGACTGCTTTATAGACTCCCATTGAGATATATCAGATGCTGATCGACAGCACACAGTTAATCGTGCCGGCTTTAGTGTATGAATTCTTTATCTCTAATCACTGCAAAAAACAAGCAGTATCTGAACTCGACATCTCCCTTGATTAGTAAAACCAAGCCGAAATCCGTGTAGCTCTCTGCTAAATGAGGTACCTCTGGATAGACAAAACAGGCCCTTGACATTGATGTCTTAGGATCAACTGCAAGGGTGGACATCAGCCAAGAAATAAACTGCTTTTTCGGTATCGGCTGACTTTCGTAAACTTGCCACAGGGAAAATAAAAGCTGTTTACTGGATCCTTAAATGTAACCATATTAGAGACATTTCAGTTGTTGCGTTTTTGTAGGACTATGCCGTTAGTAACACAGTGTAGTTTATGTTTGAAGCACATTTACTTACAAAATAGCTGGAAGAACTTGCCAGTATTATCCCTAATATATGTTCAGCACTGTGTTTGCTATGTATTATAAGTTGAAGAGTACATTTATTTTATTTAATTGAACCCCTAGGCAGTGTCAGAAAATGCTGATGGGTCCGCTCAATATAAATGTCAAGTTGACTGTCATCTACCAGTTTTAATATAAGCACTTTTTAACAGGAGCTTGGCATTGACTAACAGTCTGAACTAAATTTTTATTCGGCCCACTCTTGTTTATTGTCTTGCCTTTTTTCCCCATGAAGCCATCAGTTTGTTTGATTAATTAGCCTGATCTGTGAATTGCTGGTAGTGTTACTGCTCTATATGTGCCTGATCTGTTGGCTGAGAGACAGCTGGCAGACAAGAGGGCAGTTCTCATTAATATCGTTAATAATAATCGTGAACATAAACCCTCTCTCATTTTTGTCCAAAACTGAGCACGAAACAGTGAATTGCTAAACACAACTAATCTTACTCAGATCTGGATGGATGCCTGGGCTCTTTTTAGATGTTTGTCTTTTGTTTTTTTTTTGTTTTTTTTGGGGGGATGGGGCAGTTGTTTAAGCATGATAGTTAGTCATCGTGTGAGTTTTTCTTTTAGTAATTGTTCATTGGGAGTGCTAATGGTATAATCATTAAAACATAAGTGGGACAGAGTTGATTGATTGAGCTGAGCTGAGATGTGGGTTATTGAGCTGCTTCTGTGCTTGTTGTAAACAGCGGTGCTGAATTTCGCTCGCAGTGGGAGTGGTACTCAGATCTCTGCGCATTCAAAACAGTTCCCTGGCGCTGAACATTAATATGAACTGAAACAAAGCAGGTCAAAAGCCTATAGCTTAGACTAATCTACCTTTAAATCTTTAAATGTTTTTTTTTTGTTTGTTTTTAAACTAAGTATGGCGGGGTGGTTGTTACAGCAGCAAACGAGAATGATAGATACAGTATTAATTCCTTTTTTCCCCCAGGAAGAGACGGCACCGTATTTGACTGATTGCATAATTAGATGGTGTGATCTTTTGCACTGTACATTTAACAAAACAAGCTCTTTTTACAGGACCATTTTTTTTCCTTTGCCCCATAGATATCAAAACAACACATTTCCTTGTGGAAAAAGAAAACCCGAATCCAATTTCATGGAAGTTTCCCTCCAAATCAATCCTGAAGCCTTACTACCACTATGGTAGCAATCAAACTGATGCCTCATTTTTAGATATTTATGACTTGGCCACCGTGGAGTCTAGTTAGATGATCCATTGTACCTTTAGACAATGTGGCATGTGGATTTTTTACCACCTTCCTCTAACAACCTTTAATCCTCCTGCTTTCTGTTTAATAATATTAAGACCAGAGTTAGACGTTCCAGTAAGGCCTTGAACCTTTACTGCAATGGTCCTTAACATGATGGGAGGACCGTTAAGTGGAAAAGTTCTTTAGTACACTAAAAATACCTCATTTGTGTTAATGACAGAGCCAGAGGAGGGTATATTGCTATCTTTGTAGCTTTACACTCCCCCGGACCTAAAAGGTATTATAAATCAACGTCATGGCCGAGGAACGCATTGAATGTTGAAGCCGGCTGGGTGACAGTACACTGTCCTTGTTGCACTTTTTGAAAGCTCAAAGTCTCCCCCTAATGTGAAGTAACAGAACTGCAATTTAAGGACACGGCACATCTTTCGGTTTCTCACCGATGTCCAGCTCATTTTTTGTTATCTTTGTTTGACAGGCCCTGGACAAAGACACTGGGAATTACAGTGCAATGCAATACAGACTGATAATACCTCCCTCGACTGACGGCAAGGATAGTTTCGTCATCGAGCCCTACACCGGCATCATTAAATCGGCAATTATCTACAGGAACATGCGGCGGTCCTACTTCAAATTCGATGTTATTGCAACAGATGACTATGGGAAGGGGATGAGCAGCAGTGCACAAGTGGTGGTAAGGGTTTCCTCCCGGAGAAGCACGCCTCTCATTTCCGGCACTTTCCGCTTCAGCGCTATGTGCCCCATGCTACTGGGGATAGCCTCTCACCTGCAGATCCCATTTCCCGGCGTCACGCTCCTCCTGCTTCCTTCTCAGCGAGCAACATGCAGTTCAGCATCCTATGAAAGCATTTTAAAACTTCAGACCCAGAACTTTAGAATACATACAGTACCAATCAAAAGTTTGGGCACGCCAAGCCACCTACTAAGGGGTGTGATAGAGTGGCCACCTGTCCTAAACACAGAAGAAATGGTTTTGGAGGAGTTTGACCAGAAAGTGACAGAAAAGCAGCCAATGAGAGCTCAGCTTGGGAGCTCCTTCAGGACAGCTGGAAAAGCATCCCAGGAGGCCACCTCATGTAACTGGCATGGAGGAGACAGTAGGGGCAGCCAGTCCCTGGGGCAATTGGGGTTAAGGGCCTTGCTCAGGAGCCCAATGGTGGGATCATTCTGCCGACCTCGGGATTTGAGCCAGCAACCTTCTGAGTCCCAACCCACAGAGCTGCTATCCCGCCCCCTCCCCCCCCCAGTATATGTACTTCTTAAATTTAATACTTTTCTGGTCATTATACAATTCTATGTTGTTTTATAGTTTTGATGTGTTTGTAATTATTCTAAAATTTAGAGATTAGCACAAATAAACCTTTCTATGGGCAGGTGTGTCCAAACTTTTGACTGGTGCTGTATATGCATCTTTGTGATGGTGCAGCTTAAAAAAGCACTTAATTTGAATCCTAATTTTAGATTCCTTGTACCTGGTATCAACAGAAAATTTAGTTTTTTGTTCAGAAGAGTGCATTTGATTAAGGCTACATATGCATTTTTCTCTTGATCTGAAGTCTCTGATTTATCAAGAAACCATTGAAAAAACACAAAGAGTCAATTAATTGTAATCTACACTACTTGTCCTAGATATCTGTGGTTAATCAGCTGGATATGCAGGTGGTGGTGTCCAACGTTCCGCCCACTGTGGTGGAACAGAACAAGGAACAGCTCATTGGGTGAGTGTCTTTCACGCACAGGCCATCAACCAATCACAAGGCTTTATTCTGGTGACTTGTGAATCTTTTAGATTTTTTTTCCCATAAGTTCCCTGAAAGTGGTTTCTTTGATGGCCTGCTTCTGCGGTGCTTGAACACACTTAACATCCTACAGATGCTTCTGTCCTGCACTTGATAAGTAACGTGTTTGTTTTTGTTTTCGTCTCTTTGGCGACTGATTTTGCCTTGTGTTGTCTTTGATCCGGGGAGTGAAATGTATGTTTTCTTGCATTCATTTTCTTGTCCCGGCAAACCGCCGGCCTTGACAAACAGCAAGCAAGCGCTGAAAAATCAAGGCCTCCTCACCGTCGTCCCGCCGTACTCCAGAGGCAGCAATCACTTACCCGCCCCCTCCCCCCCAGCCCCCGAAACAATCCAGGGGGTCATTTTAATCCCAGCTACCTGCTGGGTCCTGCTCCATGGCCCCCAGACACGCACGAGAATGGCCATGCCAGCGTGAAAGCCCACTTTTCAGTGCCGACAAAGCGGCCTACACGCGTTGCCGGGGACCGGGGGCTCTGCGCTCTCCCACCTCGGCCCCCACAGCTGCGGCCTCAGCTGCGGGCCAGCCCAGTTATTCTGGGTTTTTCCGCGTCCCAAGGGGAAGCCCATCAATCTAAGCTGAATACCTTCCCCCCCTCTTTTTGTCCCTAGTAGACGGAATAGCACAACGGGTAATTGGTTCAGAATGCCAGGCCGCTCGGAGATGAGAGCTCTGCGTGTCCCAGCTAAAGGCTGAGGCGAAGGGCACTTGGTACGCTGTGCCCCAGTCTTCCCATTCCATTCCATTTAGCCTCACAGTTCTGGAAGATATTCCTTTATTTTTTTAGTGCACGTACTGTGATGGTCTTCGCCGTACCCCATACCCTGTTTAAGAACCAGGGTCATCAGCCTAGAAGGAAATGATGTGTTACGTAATGTACCCAACTTTTGTCACCCATATGTGCACTTTATAAAAAAGATCTGAAGGGAGAAGATAATAAAATATATTTAACTTGGTTTTATACATTTGCCCTAAAAGCTGGATAATTTCTCCTCCCGGTATGGCAATTTTTTGAGATGTAATTATCAACCTATTCCTCTCCAAGTGTGGTCACTGAGACGTCGTTCGAGTCTGAGGCTTTCAGGAATGATTTTTCTTTTCTGTCTGCGATCGGGAACCTCATCGGTGTTAAGATGTGATTTGATGGACCTGAAATTAGTGGGAAAGACTGAGTCATTCAGACACTGGCTAAAGTGCGGATTTTTTTTTCACAGCGATTTCGCAAGTAGAACTCTTAAAGACGTTTTCAGTTTCTTAACCAGAAAATGCATTTGCCCCAATATGTAGGATTCTTGAGCGTTACGTCCAGGATCAGATTCCCGGGGCGAAGGTGCTGGTGGAGTCCATTGGGGCGCGCCGTTTTGGAGACGGCTACGAGCAGGAAGATTACACCAAATCGGATCTCATGGTGTACGCAGTCGACCCGCTGACCAACAGGGCCATATCTCGGCAGGAGCTTTTCAAGTGAGTTCACTTGATGCACACGTCCTCCTTGTACTGTTGACGGCCAATAGATGCATAGTAGACAGGAGCGGGTAGGTGACAGTCAGAGGCAGACATTTCAGGTCCAGAAAGTAAAAATCCAAACCAGGATTTCATGTCAACCAACCAGTTGAGTACTCTGTGACTGTGACTCTTTATGCTCAACTGGTTGGTTGAAATGAAATCCTGGTGTGGATTTTTACTTTCTGGACCTGAAATGTCCACCTCTGGTTACAGTAGCATCTTTCTAGGCAGACAAGTCTCCACACAATTTCTGCCCGGTGGACTCCGAGAGGCCCTGTGGCTGGTGGCTTGGTTACATGCCTCACTGACAAACCATAACCTGAAATGCATTACATTTATGTAGCTGGTCCTTTTAGCCAAAACCAAATGCATTGTTGAGAAAGCAGGAGCCTATGAGCAATTGACGGTTGGATAATGACCATGCACATGGACCCAACAGTGAAATCGCACTGCTGACCCAGGGATTTGAACCTGGGACCTTCTGATCACACACTGCCCCCTTCACATCTGAAACCAGGCAACATTTCCTACTATAACACTCTCCATCATCTGCATCTCGCTCCCATATGGGAAATAACTTGTTTGTTCACACCCTCTCTCCATCCCTGTCTGTTTCTGCCTCACTTCTTTTACCAAACAATCGTGTAGTAAAAACAAAGTTGGGAAATTTCTTTGCCGGCAAAATATTAATCTTTTCATAATATTTTACTGTCCTGTGCTGTCAGTATGGTATCAGATGTTGAGATGTTTTCTGTATCGGAAAGCAATTTGTTACTGTTTCACTGTAGCGCGTGACACGTCAGTCTTATCGTGGGTGGCAGCTTTAGCACGGCTGGCTGTAATTAACGCAGGGCGCTGGGAGAACCTTTCTCACTTTCAACCGCAGTGTCACTAGGGTGAGAGAACTTTCTATTCCTGACTTGATTATTCTCAGTTCAGCCGGCGCCAAACTTAGCGAGACCCACGTTAAAGCCGTCGCCTGAGACTGCAGCTTCGCCGGAAGTGGAATTCAGATGAAGCTGATGAAGCACGTCACCTAGTCGGGAAACGAACCACAGTGTACCTGAGAATGAGGGTTTATTCTCACGGAAACCAACAGCAATAAAATATGCATTAAAACCAGATCTCTTCAGTCAGAGGATCAGTTTTCGAAGAGGGATATACATTTCGACAAAGGCGTGTATTCAGAAAGGAATTAGAAATAATACATACCTGTAAGGAATAAATGATGGGGTGATGATCAGATTTTTATTTCCCATAAAAATGGCTTCAGTTAGCACAAAAATAATCACTGAACTCCATCTGCATTCAGAAACTTTAAGTTATAAATATGTACTGTATACTTAATGGACCAGATTTGCAAGGTAATGCAAAGACCTTATTTAGAATCATCCCCCAACACATGGAAACAGAGAAGCATACTTGCGAAAAATAGAGATGTTAGTGTGAGGATTCGGTAAAAGCACTTATGGTGCACATTGTGAAAATGATGGCCTACTTCAGCTGTCTGTGTCCAGCTACTAAAAGACCTGGAGCTCATTGAGAATGTCTGTCTGTCTGTCTGTCTCTGTCTGTCTGTCTGTTTGTGGAAAAGGTTCCTGGATGGAAAGATTCTCGACATCAACAAGGAGTTCCAGCCCTATCTGGGCCAGGGTGGCCGCATTCTGGAGATCCGCTCCCCCGATATCGTGGCCAGCGTGAAGAAGGCTGCACAGGCCGTGGGCTACACAGAGGGGGCGCTCTTGACCCTGGCCATCATCATTATCCTCTGCTGCATCCCTGCCATCGTTATCGTCATGGTCACCTACAAACAGTAAGTAGGGCTTACAGGCTTGGGCACTGAAAATAAATGTCTGGCAGGTATTCGGAGATGTCTGTCTCCCCCTGATTTGTCTTGGAAATGGCTTTTAGAGCCAGGCTAATCTCCCTCTCACTCAGCTTGAAAGCTGATCATTTATTTCCCTCTGTGCCAAATATTAAAGTCTGACAGCTGCTTTTATGGGATGTTTTTTTTTCTTCTTTTGCACTTTGAAAGAAGCAGGACAGTGGCGTGTGGCACTTTCAAAGATGTGCCTTGTTGAGAGCACACTCGAAGGTGCCGGAGATGAAAAATATGTAGCGTGGGGGGGGGGAGTCAGACTTAAGCAGAAAAATCTAGACCATCTATGGGAATTTGTCCAGAGGTGCCGCAGCATTCTATGAATTAAACTGCCCATGAGTAGCTGAGGAGGAATTGGTATATTAGTGGTTAATAGGGTTAAAGCAGGGGTCACCAACCTTTTTGAAACTGAGCTACTTCTTGGATACTGAGCCATACGAAGGGCTTGCAGTTTGAAATGCCCTCCTAAACTTATCTAAACTTCATGCATAGTAGATAATATGTTTTAAATGCTTTTTTTTTTTAGATATTGTCATTTTCAAATCTATATAAATGCAAATGTGATTAAAGAAGAATAGCAAAAGGATACAATTAAATTTTAGATGCTGCTCACTGGTGAGTTGTGCTATTTTTAGAACAGGTCCGCGGGCGACTCATGTGGTCCTTGGGGGCATCCTGGTGCCCACGGGCACCATGTTGGTGACCCCTGGGCTAAAGGTTATCACAGGTTAAATTAAGCACACAGAAGGATTCATGTAATTCTACTTTCTTTGTCATGGCAATGCAATGAAAACACTAATTTCTTTCACTGCATTGTATAATATTCAGAGGAGTCACGCCAGTGGCATTTCTGCACCCTGAAAAATGTCTGCTTGCATACATTTACCTCAAGGACATGAGTGAATATGTATTTTGTATTAGAAATTTAAGTAAGTCGTTATTATTTTTTTCTTTTGCAAGTACGATGTTTAATTAAAGTTGTTTAATTAAAAAGCATTGAATTTTCAATCTAGGGGAAGGAAATGTCCCATCTGCAGGGAGAGTGCCCATAATTTGTGTGTATCTTATTGATTCGGTATTAAACTGTAATGTAACTAACTTCTCTTGTCTTTATTCTTCATCGCACGTCAACAGATTCAAAGAGTGAGTACTTTTCGATAGTTCTGCCTCTTGTTTTAACTCATGTCTATAAATATAAATCAATAAATGAAAATATACATATATCTAGCAATATGTACCGTAATTGATTTTATGTGTTTTGTGTGCGGCGTCTGTGTGGAGCTGCTTATTTATGTTAACACCTACAATGTAGCACAGCATTATGCTAATAGCGTTTTTTTTTTTCTCACCATTTGCCAAAGGCGTCAAGCTGAATGTGCAAAAACGGCACGGATCCAGATGGCTCTACCAGCGGGCAAATCAGCCGGCGGCACCACTAACAATCTCTACGAGGAGCTCGGGGACAGCACCATGTACGTGTGGTCCGCCTCGCTCCTCTCTGAAGCCGAGGCCAGTGGGTGTTTCCGTAAATTTGTTGATTTGATCTTGAGCAAATTTCTTTGCTCGGATTAAAGGTCAGCAGATAGTCATTCGGCGGCCTCCATGAAACAGCAGAGAAGCAGACCGGGTAGGACTGAAAGGTTAACTAGACGTATCACTCCTTTGCAGAAGTGGGTTTCCCGGCCGCTATTGGCCCTCCCCGACTTCGGCCGTTTTGTCGTACCGAGATCCAACACCTTCGTCGGTGTTGGTCAGTTTCTTGTGATCATTTTAGGTGCAAGATTCTGAAATGGACTTAGCCGTTTGACATTATTTCATCCGGGAAATGCTGTACATATTAATAATGATATAAAAATATCTTATTTGCGAGGGAGTCAAAGAAAGAGTCATAATTACAAAGAAAACATCTCAAGACTTGACATCGGAAAATATGCGGCGCTGACAGCCGTCTGAAAGAGATCTAAAACATTTAGCTAATTTTGCCGTGTTGTTTGTCACTTCCTTTGGTGTCTTCTGTGTTGCTTTTCCCATTAAATGGGCTGCCTGAACAAAGGAATTTTTAATGGGTTTTTTTAAGCAGCAGCAAATAAAGGAAAATGTTAATTCAAATAAATGCCGCAACAAACCTAAAATAAGCATAAGATGATGGAATGCATGTCTAGCTGATGGAACAAGGCTGTGTTCACATCATTTGTGAAAGGACATCACAAGCAGCAAACTGCTGTAAAATTTGGTGAGTGAAGTGGAAGGTTTGTGAGGTTAACAGGGGTCAATTTACCTGAATGTAGTATCTAGTTATGTCTTCAGTGCTTCTAATAAAGGTCTGTATCACCCACTGAGAGCTGCGTAATGCAAACCTGAATCCAAATGATTGGGTTTGTATAAGAGTCTGACTGATAATGAAACAAGTAGCTTATTTCGAACAAAAACCCTGAAACTGGGCTTGAGGACTCGGTGACTCAGTTTCCTTTTGTATCATTACATATACCGAACTTGCCTTTTTTCAGTTGCTGGTAATTATTTGTTTGTATAAACTCATTTTAAGGCTTGACACAGTTCATATCAAATGGGGTTTTAATGTGGTCAAGAAAGTACATCAAATGAATACATTATGCATGTATGTCTACTTCTACCTTTATATCCAATCATATCTAATCGTGAGATCAGACTTCAGTAAGTACCATTTTTTGTGTGTTTGTGTTGTAGCGATTCCTTGCGTTGCTTCTGTTACGTTATCGTCAAACTTCTGTGGCTACTGGCTTTTAGAAAGGTTTATTTTGGAGGCTGCTAAATAATTAATGTTCGCAAAGTTAGTAATAATCATCTTCTGCCCATTTGGTATCTGATATGTATATTTTTATGCAGCGTTTGCACAGCTGCTTTTAGTTGAGTTTAAATATTTTATTTGCTTTTCCATAGGGAAAATAATGCTCTGTGGTTTGCCCGCCCCCTCCTGTTAGTGTAGCGAATCTCATAGTTATTCACTCCACTCTCATTACAATTTGAGCGAACACAGCAAAACTGTGTCAAATCAATGATATTTCTCATCTCTATGCATGAATAACAGTCTTGAGATCATGCTGTCAGAAAATCAATCAGTCCAGTCAGTAAGTTTTTATTTCATATCGAGCCAGGATGCACCTGTGGGCCCCTTTAAAGCGTCACAGATGACGGCAAATTATCTAATACGTTTCTGCATTACATTATATGTAGCTAAATGAAATAGAGTAAACGATGGTGCCAGATTCCATTCCTGTTCAGAACAATAACGGTTGTATCACTATTGGCTGTAGTATCCCCTGTAGTATTTATCTGAGTGGCATGAAGCGCTTCAGGGAAGTGTATAGATCATTTAGCCCGAACAGGACTAATTTCTCCCAGTGGAATCAGTTATGCTGGAATTATCTCTTCTAACAAATATACTCTATTATGTCATTTTTAACTTTTAATTTAAGAACCAACACTGTAGGGCTCTCCCAGTGGAGATAAACAGTAATATTTTACTGTCCGCAGTAATAATAGAGACTTAAAGAGACATAAAGCATCTATTATATTATGTTGTTCGCTTACGCTCAGTTATGAGTGTGGAGTGTTCATCCTTTTCCTTTTTCCATTGCATTACCTTCCAAGACTGTTTCTGTTCTGCCATTTCTGAAAAAGCAGGGGGAGAAGGGGCGTGCTGGAGGAGGCCGACCGGCAGCGTCTGATTAGCATATTCGCCTCGCCAGCCGTTGCCGCACACAAGCTCTCCACCGGCAACGGCTCGCTGCACGACAAGCTGCCCAAATCGGCCAGTAACGTCACATTCCTGTCCGACGAGAACCCGCTGACCACCGAGAATCCCCTCTACGACGGGGAGGTGCTGTGTAGCTTGGAGATGGGGGCATCGCAGCGGAGGTCCGATATACTGGGCGTGCACTCTCCTCAGAGGAAGAGCTTGACGGAGGCCTTGCTCCGGTTCCCGGGGGCTAGACCGGGGAGCTCATGGACTCTGCCCAGGAAGCATTGTGGTGCATGGAGGTACGACACTCTCGGGCAACCTGGAGTCACAGACCAGGTCCTGTGGGAGACACAGCTGATGAAAATGGAGATGGGAGACAGCAAGGATCAGCTGGGCAGCTTTGATGTCCCGGGTAATAAAAGTAGACAGACCAAGCTGTCTGTCAAGGAGCAGGTGGGGCAGTTTGAGCAGCAGGCCCTGCAGGACATGAAGCAGCAGGGCTCAGGCTCCAGGGCCAGCCTGTCCCCTGATAGCTCGCTCTCCGCTCCTCGCTGTCCCCCGCCGCTGAGCTCCTCAGGCTGTGCGCAGAACAGGGACCTGCCCCCCTGCATAATCATTACCCAGAGTGACAACTCCCCACCTCCAAGCTACAGACCAACCCCTCCGATCCTGCACAGGTTCAACCACAGTTGTTCAAGTCTCAAGATAGTGGAGCCATATGAAATTAATTTAGAGATCATTCCTGATCCTCCTGATATCCCTCCTCCTCCTCCCCCCCCTTTGCTCCCTTCACCCCCTCCCTCCTCTATCATTTCCACTTCCCCTCTTTTTCCTCCTGCCCCCCCTCCTCCCACTTCTCCTTTTCCTCCCACTTCTCCACCTCCTTCTTCTCCTCTACCTCTATCATCTCCACCTGCTCCTTCTGCCCCTCCCGACCTGAATGTCACCCAACATTTGGAACCTTCTCCACCTCGCTCCCAGCCTGATATACCTCCTCCTCCGACCCACCTCTCCACCCCCACCCCTGATACACCTCCTCTTCCGACCCACCTCTACACCCCCCCAGCTAATATACCTTCTGCCCCGCCCCACCTCTCCACCCCCCCAGCTAATATACCTTCTGCCCCGCCCCACCTCTCCACCTCCACACCTGATATACCTCCTCCCCCACCCCACTTCCCATCCACTGCTCCTGATTTGCCTACTCCACCACCCCTTCCTCCCTTTTCTCCTTCCTCTACACGCCCCATCTTTGCCTCTCCTTTTGTCCTGACACCTATGTCCTCCCTCCGCCCTGTGTCCTTATGCACCCCTCCTCCTCTCCGCTACCCAACCGAAGCGAAAGCCCCCAAACAGGAGCTGAAGGGCATTCTCCGGAACATCCGGAACATAGCTGATATAGAGAAATCCGTTGCCAACATGTACAGTCAAGTGGACAAGAACCAGAACACGTTAAAGAGTGTTCCAAAGCCACAGGTATCTGTCCATTCCGAGGCAGCCCAGCCTGAGCCAAATCACCTAAACTGTATCATGAAGGAAGAAGAAATGTGCTCTCCATCTCAGTCAACTATCCTGTGACAATCATTCTCCACTGCTTATCTATCATCTTCTCCATGACTGTTTTCTTTATTTACATTTACATCTCTGCTCATTTTGACTTAAAAATCTTCACATATCTCACTCTGTTTTCTTTATAGTGTATCTTAATCGACTGTATGTAAGTTATTTGGGTTTATATTCACTGAGTATTATTAGACATTAACAGAGTATACATAAGTAAAGGTATAGTAAATTTGTACTATTTTTAAATATTAAAATACATGAAGAATATGTATGTATTTTAATAATTACACCCCCCCCCCCAAAGAGGTTAGTCATTTAGATTTATGTTACCAAGCTGATTGTGTGGTTTGGTTATGTTACCTCTCAGTAACTTTAAGTTTTATATAAAGGCTGACTTTCTCTCACATTGCTTGCTTTTTGTTCTGCTTACTTTTTATATCTCACGTCTTACTGAGATCCCTAACATGCTGACTCAGATTTAATGCAGATCTCAAGTCAAATACATTATGTAAAACTGAGTTAATACATGCTTCAGTTCAAGAAACTGTCACATCCCTAATGCTGTAATTTCATAACTGATTTGGAAGTTTTCTCCGGAAATTTTAAATCCAGCATTTGGAAACTTGCTTCATATTCGATCAGACTTGGGAGTCTGAGTGGCCTATTACTGAATTAATTGAATCATGTTCATTTTCTTTAGTGAAAACTGACAAACTATCAGTATCGAAGTTCTGTGTCAAATTGTAGGGATGTAGCTATTAATATATGTCAGTTCCTTTTGTTTTGTTTCTGCGTGTGTGTTAGTTGAGTTGAATTCCTTTTGAAAGAAAAAGCTTTAGCTATTTATGTATTTTTTTGTGTTTGTATGTTTAGTTATTTCACCCTTTAATGGTATTATTTTCTTTTAATGGGATTTCTCTCCAATTTAAAATGGGTATAAAAAGACAGAAACAGACATGATATTCAGCTGCTTCTGCAAAATTAGTCTTCAGTGATCCACAAGAACCAAGGATGTCCAGTCTATCTACAGCACAGATAATTACTCGACTGATCAATCTTAAATCTGATTTGGCTTTTGTCTTTTTTTTTAGCCTCCAAATTTTTACGTTATATTCAGACAATGTTTCTCACTAATCCCAACTTTAACGGCTGCATTTAATTGATGGCACATAACCCTGCTGCTATTCGATGGCACGTAATGCACAGTCACCTACTTTAATCTCCGGCTTCAGCAGTGATCCTGGGTTTCATAGCAAGATGCACTTGTTTAAATCCTGGTCCCATCCTGTAAATTTGACCAGGATTGCCTCTGTTTTTCCTAACTTTTTGTTTTTTCTCAGGCCTAGAGTTCATCAGGCCTCGTTTTCCCTCATTATTTCTCGTCCGGTGTCTACAGAGGTCGCGCCCAGGCATTCATAATCTCAGCATCCCGGTTCCGTTCTCCTTCCTTCATTTGTGCTTATGATGTCGAAAGTGATGGTAGCAGATAGAGAGAAACATGCTCAATTAGTCTCTCGGGGAGATGATAAAACCAAATGCTACACTTCAGAAGGATGAAAGCTTCTAGGTGCCTTTGTTTCTCGTTCTTATTGCTGGAGAATGAGAATACACTTCAAACCCCGTGCCGATTATTTAACGAGTTCCTTTAACCTGGAAAGTTAGCATCAAAAAAACTTTTACCACCTACAAAAGAACCAAAAGTAAATGCCTACAGATCTTGCAGTGGGGTTGATTCGTGGAACAAAGTTGACAACTGGGCACAGGTGTGTCACCACACTATTTTCCAAGCGCATCAACATGCTAAAGCAGGATTTTGTACATCTTTAAAGCCATTGTTTCAGCCAAAGACGTCTGCTGTGGTTTAACCGATGTGTAGGGATTACTTTGGTGTGACTCCTTTTCGCCAGGCCTCCTGGATCACCAGCAACGGTGTTGTTTTCTGTGGTTAACTTCCACATAACAGGTTTTCCAATGGTGTGATTAAATCAGTGATTAGATGCAGGTCTTTCTCTGTCAAGGTGTGTCATCAGCGTGCCTGGCCTGAATGCCTGAGATATTATTAGTCGTAGTTGACCAGGCCCATGGAAACTGTCTGTCTCACCTTTCTCGATTGTGGCCCGGTCTATTCCGGTGCATTATTTATCGCAGCCTGTTCATGGATCTGTGGAGCGCGGAGCTTGCCGAGGTCTACAGCATCCACTATTGCAGACATGCAGCATCCCCCGTCGCAACGGGGGGAAGCGGAGGAGTTCCAAAAGTCTTCTGAAAGTCACAAATTATCGCCGAGTGATAAATCTTCATTTAAGTTCCTCATTACTTCCACATCAGACAACAATGGCAGTAATTTGCCCCCGATAATCAGTGGCATGCACGGAATATTAATTCACAGTCGGCACGCGAAGTGACATCTGAGAGTGAAATGGGCTCACGGCTGTCACCCACATCAAACCTACTCTAATCTAGCATTTCCTTCCCATCCTCTCGTTTTTGTTAAATACCAGCACGCTCCCCTGAGCGTCTGAAAGGAAGTCGTGACATTTGTCTGGGCTGCTTTTGACCTACTCCTCTTCAATTAGCTGTATTTGTTGGTTAACTGAAGCAAGTTCCCAGTTCACAGACAAGGTTACTTGGCCATGCGGAGTGGTCTGTTGCATGAGTGGTCATGACCCAACTTCACCGTTGCCTTTCATGGGGTGCAAGTCGTCATTCTGCCTCAGATACAATCAGGCGCATTACAGTAAATTCTCGGCATTTTCTGCCTCTTGTGCTACACACGTTACTTCCTTTTGGCTGAAACTGAAGGTAATTCACCTTGCCGGTGACTACAAATTCAATACATTCTTCTATCAAATAGTGCTTTTTTAAAATGGCTGTTAGGGTCTAGAATCCCCACCACTTCATTTCCAGCACTCAGCTCTCTTGTGGCATTTCACTGAGCAAGGACTGTAAATCAGAACAATCCATAAATCGCATGTTGCATTTGAGTGTCTTTGGGGGTAAGAGACAAGTCACAAACACAACTGTACTTTTTATTTAAAAGTAGGAAAGACTTTTTGATACAGACATTCAATTTCAGATAGTGTTAGTAAAACAGTGTTTAATTTGGAAGTGCTTATCTGAACACAATATGGCTAATGCTTTTTATTTTTATTTTTCTTCCAGGCGAGGTTATGGACATCAAGAAGTAAGCATTTTTATGTACTTAAAATATATTACATTTGGATGAGGTCTTTTTTAAGACAGCAAAGCTGTTTATTTTTGCATCTTTTTTTTACTATATTGTTGACTTGATAGAAAAAGTAATCATTTGAATAATTTGAGTTGGCGCAGCATAATCGGCGATATGGAGAAATATATCAAAACCATTATATTGTATAGATGTTTAAAAATCGCTGGTGTTTGGAAAATGTTAAGCCCTGCACTTATTTTTCTGTGGGTGGACTTCATTTCACGTTAAATCTTCCTGTGATGCTCTCACAAGCTTGATTTCCTAACTCTGACCTCAGCATTGGTCTCTCTAGGCCGTCAATACACCTCTAATATCAACTTAATGAAACTTAAATTTTTTTTTCCTTTTTCCGTCTTTTGCCTTTTCTGTCTCCTATTCAAACCTCCGTCAGCAGCAGCAGTTGCTGAGGCCAACACTTCTTAGACCAGAGGTACTCTTCCTTAATCAACGTTTTTGGGTCCCTACCCATCCCTTACCTGTGTTCCCTCTTAACCTGCCCTGTCGTTGAGTAATCACTGTGCTCTAACAACAGGAGCTCTCCATGGAGTCCGGCATTGACCCCGGCCAGGAATATTACGCTCAGGATTACTATAATTACGAGCACGGGTGAGTCTGATAATTTACATAAGTCTAGTACCGTGTGACTAGGGAGTTCAAATCTTGAGATTGGCCGGGCTGTTCAGACTGAAGCATCCAAACCATTAAATACTTTTTTCCCCCTCTGTTTTTTCCATAAATGTGTAAAATGTGCACTCTGCTCACCCTGTGTAAGCTAGAGGAGTTTACGACTTTACATTTGCTAATTGCGATGACTCATTCCTGTCGGCTTAGGTTACGTGAGGCCGCTGTTTGGTTTTCTCACAGAGTAGCTACCAAAGTAATCCTTCAACAGTTTATGTACTGTAATGTAATGTAGTGGTTTTATGGTTCTGGGCAGCCCTAAAGAAAGTTCTTAGCGTTCATTCAGCTCGTACAATTCTCCTACAGCCACCTAGTCAATAAGCTTATTCTCTTAGAGGATAGTAAGGCCTTTAATCAGGGAATCAAACCCTAAAATGCCAGACAGAGGTACCACAGACTGCTCTTTATTGCCCTAACTGGCGTCTTTTCAGCTTTTAATGAGAATCTACAAAAGTCTCAGCGGACTGACAGGGTGTTATTTTAATTTATTTCAGTTTTGCGCTTTCTCACAAAAGCTTTATTCTTTAACTGTTAATTGTGTTCAATGAAATTGAAGACCCTGTTATATTAATTTGAACCGCATGACCTTTAATAAATGAGCCTATTGCTATGCCAGCGGACAGAGTTTAAATGGGAGAAGTGAGGAATGATGTCATCCGAAGACGGGCTTGCTGTGGTCTTCAGCTGCGGGTTGGCCCACAATAGCAACTGAAATCTCGTAATCTCTCGAGAATTGTGCGTTAGGAGAGCACTGGCCCCATAGTAAGATGTCACTGAACATGGTTTGACTTTCATAACACACCTGCCCCTCTAGCATGTATTTCAGTCATACTGTACACTGGCTAATCAACGACAAATCTTCTACGTAGTAGTTAGCCCCAATAAAATAGCCCCCATTACCGGGTTCCAGTGTAATTAAGCAGGAGGGGTTCCTAGCTGCTTAGGGATCTTACCGTAATCGCCGAACCGCCACCCAATACCTGATGATGTCGGGTCAGTCCTGCTGTGGAGGATGTGTTTTGCTGACCTCGGTATGCTTGTTTCATTCCAGGTATGACTTGCCTCAGTATGGTAGTCGCCGAAAGTTGATATCTCCGTCAGGAATGTACGATGAGTATGGAGAGGTGATCATGGAAGATGACGGCAGCTACTACTACAGTCCTCAAGGGTCTGAGGGAGAGGTAGTGTTCTCTCATCAATCATTGCTTAATACAGGCACATTTATATCTACTATATTTTATATTGGTCCACCTGTGGTATTTATTGGCAGAGTGAGCTACCATGAAACTCCAAGGAAACAAATAGTGTATGAACTGAGAAACGTTTTCACGTTTTAAATTCCTCCTTTCTATTGTGTTTTAAGAATGATTAGCACAAAGCATAAATCTGAAAGCATTTAATTTCATTCTGTTCGGCCCTGAAAACTTATTTGTCATTTACGCCCCCATCAGATGTTGCATCGAATCTTCTTGTAAAAGCTTTTCTTTGTAGCAGCACTAATAAAAAAAATGAGACCTTTTCAGCAGAGCCACAGAAAAGCAACGTGCATTGTCATTTACTTGAGTAGGAGGACACAGTTTTTATTCAAAACTGGATGTTCGAAATATGTGAGATTTCTTGATAACTCTCAGTGATGTCACTGCTGCAGGTATCCATGCGGGGTCGAAGGCCCATGCGAGGCAGAGGTCCACCTCGGCCACCACAGAAAGTGGCCTTCAGGGGCCCCCCAGCAGCTCCCGAACTTCCAGGGGATGAGCACGTTCCCGGCAGTTCAAAGGCTGCCAAGCGATTAAAATCAGTTATGAAACTCAGCAAAATTTTATCCGCGAGCAAAACCACTGGCCAGCCATCTGGTGCTTTAGCCCCTCGTCACTCTCCATGGAAGAAAGCCCGGATATTCCCAATGATGTTTTCCAAAGATAAAAAGGATGGGAGGGATTATGCCACTCTGGCATCTGCCCGGGATGGTGGGGTGGTCATAGATGGCACGTATTTTCAGGCGTCGGACGAGAAGTCCTCGGCAAGTAAGCGCCTGCAAAAAGTGCTGAGCCGCATAAACATCACCAAGAAGCTGCAGACCCGGAGAAGGTCTCAGAGTAGCAAGAGCGAAAGGTCAGCTGCCGAGAGCGAGAAAGATGAGTCCGCATCCCAGCCCACCAGTGACAAAGACAGAGAAGAAGGGCAGTCAAAGCTTTCCATAAGTGTTACTGGGGAGACTGATCAAGAGGACAGCGGCTCAGAAGCCAAGAGTAAGAAAGAGGACTCAGGGGATGATGTGTCAGAGAAAAGTAGTGGTACTCCACCCAGTAAAGACAAGGATTACCTTAAGCTTGACTCTGATAGAGATGATGCTAATGAGAGTACTGTGGACTCAGAAGAGGAACAGGAAGTTTCTGATGATGAAAAGGAGTCAGCATCTAAGGAAGAGTCAGAGTCCGAGAGAGAGTCTGGTGCAGATGAAGAGTCAGAAGCTGAATCAGAGACCGAAAAAGATTCTCAGACTGAAAAGGAGTCAGATACAGAGGAAGAAAAGGAGTCAGATATAGAGGAGGACTCTGAAGACGAAGATAAAACTTCAGTTTCAGAGGAGAATGAAGTTGAAGCATCTACATCAAAGACAGCTTCCAGCAAACCTTCTAGTTCTCAGATAAGTGCACAATCTTCAAGAAGCTCTTCAGACACTGGGACGTCCAGGAGATCATCATCAGAGAGGTCCACTGAAAGCACAATTGGTAGCAAGAGAAGCAGGTCTTCAGGGATATCCAGAAGCTCCTCTAATGGGAGAAGCAAGAGCAGCAAGTCATCTGAGGCTATGTCTGCTTTCAGTGAAGAATCTGAAGAAGCAACAGAAGAGCCAAGTGAAAAAGAGGAGATAGAGTTGGATGAAGACAATGATGAAGATGCCACTGTCTCAACAGCCAGAAGCTCCCATAGTGGGACTATATATAGCACAGGAGCAAGTAGCAGTGTGCCGGAAAGTTTGGAGGAGGACAACGAACTGTCCCCTATAAGTGAAGCTGATGAAGAGGAGGAGATTTCTTCTCAGAAGACAAAAACCTCTGTTTCTAGTCATTACGCCTCTCCTGTGTCTGCCTCTTCGGCATCAGGCAGCACTCAGCCTTCTTTAAGTATGTCACCTGAGGAAAATGAGGAACAGGAAGAGGAAACTGAAAATGAGGCATCAAATTCAGAGGAGGAATCAGCGACTTCCTTTTAGCTAACATTCAGAACCTTTAAGTAAGATGGGCCAGTCCCATTTCTGATCTGCTGGTGTGGCCCTGCTTAAGTGTGATTTCCTATCTTAATCTCTTTCCACAGACATGCTGTGAATCCCACCAACTTGTGATGCTATGCCTGTCTGCATGCTTTCCTGTTTCAGATTTTCCCTAGTCAACACTTGCAATGTCCTATTAGATCGGTTCAATGAGTTTGGTCTCTGATACTCTTGGATTGCAGTGCTAGTCTTTGTGCTTTGTTTTGTTTAATGAGCAATGAAATGAAGCACAAATGCCTGATGCAATGAAAGTGAAACCTGTTTCCACTCATAACATAATAGTAGTAAATGGCAGCGTACTGACAGAGTACTGGAATTTCCTCAAATTTCATGTTGCTTTTCTAGAAGCCTTGTGTTAACCAACTCACTGTCTCTCTTCCAGTGTGGGAGAAAGAAGCGCATCAAGCTTGTGGTGGACCGGGAGTATGAGACAAGCTCCACAGGAGAGGACAGTGCCCCAGAATCTCACAGGAACCGCCTGTCCAATATCAGCAGCCAGAGCAACATCAACGGGAACATCTACCTCGCTCAGAACGGCTCCATCATCAGGACCCGCCGAGTGGCCCACCTCAATAACGTGAAAATGAACTCACCCACAAGGTTGGGGAAGCAGTTCAAAAAGCTGGATAAGCTGGCAGTGACCCATGAAGAGAAACTCCCCCTCAACAGTCCCGGGGACGGGGGGGTCTCCGGTGCCACAGACGAGAACCTAAACACAAGACCCTCCAGCGGATCCTTAGCCTCCAGCACTACAGGACCTGATAGCATTGTCTCGAAATCCAATATAGCGAGGGCAAGGAGTGAGGAGGCACGTGGCACGGAGGAGCAGGAGTCCGCCGTGGATTCCGGGACTGTGAAAGAGTCAGAGTCACACAGCGAGCACACGGATGAAGAGGAGCTCTGGATGGGGCCGTGGAACAATCTGCACATACCAATGACAAAACTGTGACTTTTGTAATTTTTATTTTGGTTTTATTACATGATGAAATGTAATTTCTATTGTCTTTATTGAAGAGCGAGAGAATATTTATATTGTACATCTGTGTTAAAGTACGTTAAAGTTACTCGATTCACTGCATTTCCCTAAATGTGGCATTTGCACTGACTTTTTTTCTTCGTTTGAATCTGCTGAATTTGATCAAATGAGGTTTCTTAAAAGTTACATTTAAAGAAACTGTTTCGATCAAAAACACAACTCTTAAATGGTTTTAAAAACATAGTGTTCTTCTTACAGCATAATCACATAATGACTGATATGAAGAATTACTACTTTTCATTTTAGCAGTCCGAGGGGGAGGGGTGTCATTGACCTTTCTAGAGTAAAAACAGAGGGTCAGGATTAGTTATGGGTAATTGCTGCAAATTTCCTCGTAATGGACTGACATTCTGTCCATTGGCTAAAAATGTTCTTTAGACTGCTTTGGACAGAAATGAAAAATTGCAGCTATTTTCTTTTATCATTTTTTATTGCTTTCAGCAATTCTGCAGTTAAATTTTCGATTTTGGGATGTCTGCTCTGTCACAGCGTGCCATATTTGTCACTTATTCTGTTTTGGTCTAGTTTTAAATTGATATTTGTACTTATAGCGTGATTTTTCTGAGCTTGGAAAACAGAGAGCCATCCTCTATTATACTGTAACTTAATGGGCTGTACTCTACCATCTCTCCAGATTAGAAAATATGATTAAGTTAAGCTAACACAAATAAACTTTCCTTGCGCATTAATTTCAGTGATCACTGTCAGACCTGCCTCGGCCTGCCTCCTTACAGGGACGGAATGATGGTTTAGTGCCATACATGATAAACAGTCATGATGCTTCTGAATCCACCGAATAAATCTTAGAATAATATGCAGAACTACAGGACATGCATTAATTACTTTGGAAATGCTTCACCAGTGAAGATGTTCATTTATTATTTGCATTCCGTTCTTGACTTTGATTCCGTTCCCATCAGCATATTACGAATATTAAGATTTGTAGACGTGTTGGGACTCTATACTGCTGCACAGTAAAAGTATTTTGTCACAACCTTATTACACAGTCAGTTCCTCTGTGAGCGCAAACATTTGATGTGTTTTCAGAAGAGAACTAATTGCAGCAATCTCAGACAGCTTACAGCTTAGCAGTTTTGGAGATAGGCACACAGGCAAATGAACTAGCTATCAGAAAAGGAATCCTAGGGGTCTTACAGTCTTATTGCTTTTAAAAGCAAACTTTAAAAAACGTAGCGCCTATAAGCGACAGCCTGCTGCCAAGGCGACTTTTAAAGTTACATTTAGCTAATGTTGCTGCGACCTGTATAGTTTCATTTTCAGTACTTCCATACTTTTATTAATCGTTTAACTGACTTAAATTCCAGCTTCAATTTATAAAAATGTATCAACACTACTGGGCGTCATACAATCCATGGTGGAAATGAGTAGTTGAAGTATGCAGTCGTGTGGATTTGCTGTACAATTAATTGAATCTCACTACTAAATTAATATTCATGTCTTATTTCATTGTGATGTAATTTATAAAATGTTTGGTTTTAGTGACTATTAATAAAAGCTAATTTGTTTCTCACAGAAGAAAAACACATCAAGTAAGACCAATATTTATTCAATTAAATCAGAATGCTTTTGCATTTCCAACGGCCAAATCAAATTCACATGCTGGCTTTGTTTTTTCAGCTTTATTTTCCCTTTGAATATTTATTAGAGAACATAAAAGCATAAAGCTTGGTCCAAATGCTGCAATACTGATATGCCTGTTTGATAGGGGATCTTTGTTGTTTGTTGAATTTGTGTCTATTGCGTTTCCCCATGTTGATCCATACAAGGGAGTTTAAAAGATTCCCTAGTGAGCATTTCAGCATCATCTAGACTGTTCTTTGGCTTGACTGAGCCTTTATAGGAAACAGGGATATGAGCTGGAAAATGGTCGGAGTGACCCTGTCTTTGAGTATCACAATATCGGGAAGTTGTTCAGCTGCTCACAGTACTTCAAGAGGCAGAAACTGCCTCTGTTTTTGTCTTCAGCTGGCTCATGCTGTCAGTGAAGCCACTTGGAGACTACCAATATGGCGCCATTTATCCAGTGGCCTGTACTACGAAGCGGGGTTACTGGCTTATCGGGGTAACTTGTCGGATTTAAGGTACCACAGTTTAAATAGACTTCATATTCATTCACTTTCATTTTGCCCAGACTACCTTAAATCCGACAAGTTACCCCGATAAGCCAGTAATCCCACTTCATAGTACAGGCCCCAGGACTATGAAGGTGGATCTTTATTAGTCCACCGAAGCAGGATTTCTTGTTAGTCTGATAACTTGTTGTATTTAAGGTAGTTTGGGGTAAATGTAAGTGAACAAAGATCCATTCAAACTAAGGTACATGAAATCCGACAAGTTATGTGACTAAGCAAGAAATCCAGCTTTGTGATACAGGTCCCAGGTTCTCCGCTTTGTTCTGGGTAACCCAGACTTCATCTTTGTTCACTTGTATTTATCCCAGACCACCTTAAATACGACAAATTACCGAACAATCACGTCTTGTGTTTACACGTAGTCATAGAACAGCGTGCCAGGTAGACTGTTGCAGACACTCTCACAACACACCTGCAAAAATATATGCGATTTGAGGACCACTGGCATGGACCAAATCAGCGCTGACCCCCTAACCACACGGTACTCCCACAGTATGTCCCTACCCTCCATACCCAAATCTATGCCTTTGTTTCTTCTGGTATATTATGGCAAATTGGAAATGTGTTTGTTTAACGTACCTCTATGGTTTCACTGAAGCACCCTAATTTGTAAACGACAGCGTTTCTGACAAACATAATTAAACCATGATATTGATTCTTTTGTGCATAATATTTTCTTCTGATGGGATTGCACAATTCCTTGCATAATATCATTTTTGTATGGGTATGTCAGGAGTGTCAGTATGGGTGTGGCCAATTTACTGAGTGCGTTTTTGTTCTGACAGTTTAATTAGATAAATTAAAAATTGGGTGCAGCACATCTTGTCGGCGACTGCACATCTGTTTCAATAACTTTCACGCAAAAGGAAAAAATGACAGCTGTCAAATTCATGTTCAAGTGGTTTTTGATCCTTGAAAGTGACTTTGAAGACATAAGATACAATGACATCATAATGGTGTTTGACAGTCTGCATCCTCAGAATTGGATTTCAATTTATTTATGTTTTGCATTTGAGGGATCTAAGTATATGGCAGTCTGTAAGTCATTATTCTGTGTCCCGAAATAATAAAATGTTTGCTACCTTACATGTGTGTCCTGTTTGTGGCTGGAGAAGTGGTCTATAACCTTGTTTGTTGTGATGGTTTATTTACTACTACAAGTTAGATTATAAGTATTATATTGTACTATAAGATATTGTATTTTAAAAGTTCAATATTGTTCAGGATTGTTTCGTTGGCCTGGCAGTCGCGAGCACAACATCACAGGGGAGTTATAACATGATAATTGTCTTTTTTATTATTATTATTTAAACAGATAGCAGTTGAGAGATGTGCTCTACACAGTTTAGAGGTGCCATTCAATTAAGCCAACCCAGTATTCAAAATTGACCATGACATGAAATAAATTGTGAATAATTTTTATTTCTACAAACAAAAACACCTGTCTGGTTATTCTGGGTCAGTAAATCCTACAAAAATATTGAGAGGAACCGAACAATGAATAGATTTGCATAAAGTGAAACATTTCCAGCATATATTATCAAAATATATTATCAAAATATATTTTATGGTCTGTGTTTCTCTTTTCAGATACATTCTTCACACAGAACACAGAAAGATTTCATTTCATTTTGGTTTGACACTGAGATACAAAAAAACTTAGTAGCAATTACGTCACCTTGTATGGATTCAGGGATTGGTTGATATTTAAGTAATTTGCATCTTATCAATAAAATGGTATTTTCTTTTACATAATCCTTTACACCAGTAAAGGAAATGTTACTATTTCAGGTTAGCTGTAGTTTACTGACCATAACAAAAATTCATATTCAGTAATATAAGAAATTCATTGAACCAGATATTCATGTAATTGTCTTTATTTGAATGATTTACTTGTCTGTGGGTAGAGATGGACGTTTATTTAACATTAATTTGTTTTTTAACACTAGATGGCGCTTGTTACTTGCCAGTGGATTTATTATTTTTTTTCTCGAAACACTTGCGGAAGGTTCCATGAATACAGCTTTTCCGTATCCTGACTTAGCACCTTAATTTGTCTGACAACAGACGAAACGTTGAGATAATACACTATTATGTAAACTATTAATCGTACATTACAAACTATATTTTCAGTAACAGATTGCTGTATTAACCATAATGCTTTCAGACATTTATTATGAAACTGTAATATTCATTGTAATATTAGTACGGTTGAGTAAGTTCATTA